ACCGGGACCGAAGTCGACCGGCAAGCTCAACTCAGCAACAGCAGCACCGGGACCGAAGTCGACCGGCCAGCTGCTGCATCACGAACGTGACCGACGAGGGGGGGTTGAGGACTTAGGGCTTAGGGCCTTAGGGTTCAGGGTGCCGACCGACCTAAAAAACCCAATCCTAAATAATCCGAAGCAAATGCAAACTCCAACCCCACACCCGATCCAAACAACGCAAAAAATCACTCGACCGACCACACTAAAACCCTGAACCACTAGCCTAACTTAAACCCCAAACCCCATACTGGGGCATCCGGCCCATGGCGTCAGGATGATCTTCTCGACCGGCAGGGCTTGAAGGTTAATGGTTTTCATCTTCTGTGTTATTTATTTTAGGCTTTGAGTTTGGGGGTACAAGCATTAATTACAACCGGCGGGCTGTTGGTAGTAAGGGTTGTTGAGATATGTGGGCTATTGGGGCCTTAAGGTTTTAATACCCAAGTGAGGATTTACGTGCCGCCCTGCCCCCCCCCCCCTCCCTATGTATGGATCCTGCCCTTTACGACCGTCCCGTTAAGTGAGGAGGACTGGGGCCCCCAGCCTCCCTCACTTAATGGAACGGCTGAACCAAAAAGATAAACGACCGGCAGGTGGACCCAAGCTGTTTTAGCAAAAAAGATAAACGACCGGCAGGTGGAGGCAAGCTGTTTTAGCAAATGCAGTTAATCAGCTCACACGAAAACGGTTTCACCACTTCCCCTAAAAAACCTTACAGCTCAACCCTGATTTTGGTGTTCTAATTAATGCGTTTTTTTTTGGCTGGGGTGATTTTTTGGTGGCGGGGCTGTGCTATTTGCTGATGGTCAATCTTAAGGCAGCCACGACCTAAACCCCAACCCAAACCCCCACCCAACCCTAAAACCCTGGCCCTGAAGCCCGAAAATCTCTTGCAGAATTGTTTCGCTTATTGCGGCGTCAGGAATGAGACTCTGTACTACTACTGTACTACTATTGTACTATTGTACTGCTACTGTATGCCTTGCTTATTGGGGGGGGCTGCTAGGGTGAACCGCCGAATTGGGAATTGGACCCTTGCTCGACAAAGGCCTCTCCAGGACTAAAGTTTGTATAAAAACTTCAATTTTGGGTCCAATCTGGACCGACCCCCCTTTTGGAAGGGTTTAGGGCTTAGGGTTTGCTAGGGTTTAGGAGTTTAGGATTCGTTAGGGTTTAGGGTTTGTTAGGGTTTATGGTTCAGGGTTTAAGGTTTAGGGTTTCAGGCGCTGGCTTTATGCTTTGCTTATTGGGGGAATGTGCTCACTGGCTTTATGCTTTGCTTATTGGTACTATTTCTGTACTATTACTGTATTACTACTGTACTACTGTACTACTGTACTACTGTACTACTGGTACTACTACTGTACTACTAGTGTACTACTGTACTACTATTGTACTACTACTGTACTACTATTGTACTACCACTGTACTACTGTTGTATTACTATTGTACTACTGCACTATTCTTGTACTACTACTGTACTACTACTGTACTACTATTGTACTACGGTACTATAATCGTACTACTACTGTACTACTACTGTACTACTAGTGTGCTACTATTGTACTACTGTACTATTATTGTACTACTACTGTACTACTATGGTACTACCACTGCACTACTGTTGTTTTACTATTGTACTACTGCACTATTATTGTACTACTACTGTACTACTACTGTACTACTATTGTACTACGGTACTATTATCGTACTGCTACTGTACTACTACTGTACTACTATTGTGCTACTATTGTAATACTGTACTATTATTGTACCGCACCAAGCTTCAGACGTGGTCGATTTGTGGGTGGGAGTGTAGGTTACGGAGGCTAAAAGTGTTCAATACGAAGGGTTGTTAGTCTTGGTAGTAATCTTGGAGTGATTGGGGCTTGGTTTCCAGCATTTGGTGATCCCCAGACCCCCCCGACCCCCGACCGCGCATTCGCGCAGAACCGCAGACCCTGCACCCAAGCCAGCCCCCAAACCCCGGCACCTCCCAATTCCCTGCCACTCAGACCCCTGACCCCTGTCCGGCGTCACCGGCTCCATATTAAATAGAATTTATTTTTTTGGGGGGGGGGGGGGGGGGGTACCCCACTATTAAACCGACACCCACATTAATCAGGAACCCTAAGGAATAATGTTGAGAGTTATAAAATGCTTAGGCCTTTAAGATTGATAATTGAGTCGACCTGGATCCCATGGTGCTCTTCTTCTGAGACCCTCACGTGGTATCAGAGGATCCGGAAGCCATCACCACGGAAGGACCTCAGTGGTGAAGCGGAGCCTCTTTGATAAGACAACCCCATGCTCTGCCAAGCAGAGGGCTTCGACATGCTGGAACTGCATGAAGGCTTCCTTCACACACACACACACACACACACAAGCTCGACGTCTTCGAAGCTCCCACACTGCGATGAAATCCGAAGCCCCAAAGATCCTGAAGCTCTCTTCACAAACTCTGAGCTGCCCTTTTCCTCGCAAGGCGCCCTCATCTGTTGTGGAGGTCTCTGCGGATCTCACCAATCCGAGCGATGGGCGGAAACCAAATTCCAGGAATCGCATTGATTCTCCGGGAAATGCTACAACGTCTGCTGCAGCCAAGCTACTACATGTTGCATGTTGATTTCTGATACTGATGCTCTCCACGCGTTCAGGGAGGCGTCATGTTCTGTTCCACTAACGCGGGGGTTTTACAGCTATATGCTTCCGAGGTTGAGACTAACATGGTCCGTCAAGGACTCCTTAGGCAGACCAGAGTTCGGGCAAGGCTTTGGGAAGATCTGAAAACGTTGCAGACAAAAGCTAGGAAATTACATGAGCTAGAATGCGAGCGCGAATTCGCCATCAATTCATTCCCGCCCACGTATCGGACGTCCTCTGTGCAAAAGAGGCAACAAGCCCTCGTCCCTGTCATGCACAGAGCTCAAGTTTGTGATGCTATGGAAAGCTACGAATGAAAGAGCTTCTGACCACTTGCCTGCACGTGACCATCAACCCCAACAGCTGCTGCTCAGGAAACCTTGATTGAACTTCTGTGCCATGTACAGAGCTCCGCACATGAAAGGAGGGGCCTAGACTCTGAGACAGAAATCTAACCTGGTGAGGAGTTCTGAAGCAGATTCCACCAGTGTTCTGGCTCCTGCTTCACGAGCCTGGGCTCAAATTGCTTGGGTTTGCGTGGCCTCCAGGTGCGGAGGTTTTCTGTTTCTAGCTTCGGTGTTCTATGATGGTACTACTGTTGCATCTTGACTGCAAGTATATGTAGGGGATGTGGGGCGGTTTGGACGAGGATCAAGCTTCTGATATGTCGCTATGCAACGGCTCCAACTTGAAATATCAGTACATAGCGTCTTCCCGCTCGATGAGTGGCAGATCTATGCTTCCTACCAAGCACCGGGTAATGAGAGCTCAGCAACTGAGACTCCTGGACTCCTTGAGCCACCGGCTCCTCAAATCTGAAATCCACACCGCAAGTGCGCGCACCTATTCATCCGTGCAACCCGGCTCAACAACCACAATCTGACCTTTCGCAGTTCCTTCCTTAACCAGTACCGAATAGCACCTAGGCAGCAGCAGTCACCCTAAACAGCAACGGAAAGCAAACTCTCCTCCACGCACCCGACACAACTCACCACAAGCTTTGGGGCTTCGCTCTTCGACTTGGTCCGTCCCGGCGGCTTCAGCGTTATCCGGCTGCTGCGCACAGTGCACTTGCATCTGAGCAGGACTCCAAGCTCTTCAGGAACGGTGGAAGAGCGTAATCTTAGTCTAGTGAACTTGCAGAAGAGCCATCATCCCTAATCATCCTCTTCCTCATCATCTTCCTGTTACCTACCCGCTTTCTCCTCCTAGTCCTAGTCTGATTCATCCTCCCTCGCCTCTTTGCCTTCATCATCTTAGCTACCACCTTGATGACTAACATGCTTGTCGTCCTCGTGACTTTCACCACCACCACCTTCACCACCGCCCCCACGGCCGCCACCGCCACCTTCACCACCGCCGCCACCACCAACACCACTAACATGAGCACGATCATCATCAGCAGCATCATCATCATCCCTCCAAGATACCGACATGGCTGCATGGGTCGGATCGAGGTTTAGTTTAGTGAGAGCCACTGTAGTCATCGTGCGACTTCGCTACTAAGTACTGATGGCTATCACAGTGCTATACACAAACTACGCAGCAACGATACGGTTGTGCACAGGAGCCAGTGGTTGTATTGTGGTGAGGGCACTGCTTGTGTCAGTCTTCTTGAAGTGGGGTATCAGCGGTAGTTTGGCATTTGTTGGCATTCTCAGGAGGTGGTCAGAATCTTGCCAGACTGGATGGACAGAAAACTGGGTTCTGCTGCTGCACAATCGCAGGGATCCCCACACGCACACACACGCGCACACAGACCAAAAAAACAACCCTATGCCCTATGCCCGAACCCTACAGTCCTCCTGGGAGACAAGATGCTGAAGTGACTGCGGGAAGGCTCTAGGAACACCAGTCACATCATCCCTGTTGTACATGTTGACTACTCGGGCGGTCAGCATATCCGTAACCTGCACCTCATCCAGGCAAGATGTCCTCACCCTCCGCACTTCTGAAGAATCCTCGAACACCATACCACCCGACACACACCACTTCCTTGAATTTCGCACTCCCCGTCACTCCTTTCCGGGGCGCCTCTCTGGGTCTACTCGGCGATGGAAGTCTGCCAGGCGGAGGCCAAAGGGCACCCCTGGGTGTGCGTTTCTTGGCGGCTTGTCACTTGGAAGGGTTGGGGACTTCGATGACCGGACTGCAAGGGTCTTGATAGGTTGAACAGGGGTTTCAGGCATACTCTACTAAAGTGGAGTACATTAAACTCAGTATCCCAAGAGTTAGTGAAGGCCTTGGGCTTCTAATGAAGGGGATGCACAAGGTTCAATTCAATTTCAGCATCAGCACAACAACTTCCAGACCCCCTTGGTTGGGTAATTCTTCCATCCCTTCGGCTGCAAACATAGCTCCTCTGTCGACGTTGATGAGCAAGCTCGCGCTCCACTCGCCGAACTCCTCAGCTGATCTTCAAGTATGCTTTTTCTGAACAGCGGGGGCCTTGCACGAAACAAGGGTTAAAACCAACCCTCGACCAGGAACTTCGTTCACGCAAAATTCACGAACGAAAGCCAAAGGTACACTTTCCAGATGCCTGGAACAAACAAAATTCAACAAGAGTTCCTCCGTTTTGGGATCAGACCCTGTCTTTCCCGAGACTTTGCTCGCCAAGCTTTGCCAGAATACGCTTTCAGCTTTACGGAACCACCGAGACTCAAATCGTGGAGATCCTTTGGTCGTTCGGATGGCTGTCATGTTGAAAGAGATGGCTCCGAACACTCTGGTTTGTTGTCCGGTGTGAGCCCGAACCTGCCCACCGCCACCATCCCCACCGCCACCGCCACTGCCACTGCCACTGCCACCGCCACTGCCACTGCCACTGCCACTGGCAGCAGCAGCGAGCAGCGACTGTTGTACAGGCGAAGACGGAGATGGTGATGTTGTTGTTGTGGTGGTGGTAGTGGATGCAGAGGGCAAGGGCGATGCCCACGGGGGCGGTCTCAAGTGTGGATTCGCGGGTGATCATGGCGCCGCTGACGGTGATGACAGGCTGCTTCCTAGCACGGTTCAGCAGCGAATTCACGACTTCGAGATGGAACCCCTGGCCGTGTCCTTCTTGTGCGTGGCTTCGGTTCTCATACGTTGGCCCACGCAGCGAATCAAAAAACATGGTGGGTACAACTGGCGGTGGTGGCGGTGGTGGTGGTGGTGGTAGCAGTCGTCGTCGTAACAGTTGTAGTAGGTAGCAGTAAGTGGCAGCAACAGTAGCACTAGCACTAGCAGGAGTAGGAGCAGTCGGAGTCGGAGTCGTGGCAGTCGTAGCAGTGGTAGTAGCAGCAGTAGCAGCAGCAGTAGCAGTAGCAGTAGCAGAGTAGCAGGAGCAGTGGGAGTAGGAGTAGTAGCAGTCGTCTTCGTGGTAGCGGTGGTGGTGGTAGTAGTAGTAGTAGTAGAAGTAGTAGGTGGTAGTGGTAGTTGTATCAGTAGTCGTAGGAGCAGTAGCACCAATAACAAAAGAGCAGCCAGTCTCCAGAGCTTCTCCCCGACAGGTGGCTGATTGCACCTGCGACTCGATCACGTCAGAGAGGTCTTCGGCTTGGTCGAAGGACACGTAAACCTTTACCTCCAGAATGCTTATCGAGGTACAGAGTGCCATCTCGTTTCTTTTGGGCTCGGAGTTTCTGTCGGGACCAGCAGATGGAATGGGCTATGCTTTGTTTAAGCTAACGCACTACCAATTGACCCCCGGGTTATGCTTGTTTTTGCTTGTTTATGTCTGCTTCTCTGGTGTTGGGGGGTGGGGGGGGGGGCGAGTTTCGTTCTGTCTGACGACGTCCATCACACCCTTGCTCTGTTGCTGCAGCTGCCTCTGCTGCTGTTGCCGCTGCTGCTGCTGATGCCAGTGCTGCTGCACCTGTACTGCACGGTCACAGTCATGTACTCGGTAGTTAGGTTGCTCTTGCGTTTGCAACGTAGGCCCGAACCCGCACACCCCAAACAAACATCCCAAGCGTGCAACCCCAAAACCCAGCAACTAGAAGCTTAAAGCCAGCATCCCAGGCCCTAGCGAAGCAGCGCAAACCCCAAAACCTCCAAGCTCAAGGCTTAAACCCGATGTCCCAAAAAACTTGTTTCGCTTGGCAGAAAACACGCAAAACACTACTTCCAAACATGAAACAATAGCGAAACAAAGACCCCAAAACTGTAGAGGTTGCCCAAGCCTGTCTCCCAAAACATGAACGGACAAAGCAAAAATTATCGCTGTACCTCGATAAAACTGCGATTTTGCCCTGAGGCCCGCCTAGACTACAAAAGCATGGCAACAACGAGGCCCACAAACACAAACATCGACCGAAAACCCAAAAAGGCCATTCTTCCTGAAAACTTTAAAGACATGCTCCCGGACAATACAGCCATCAAATGCAAAACCTTGCTTTCGCCGAGGTAAAAACTCCAAAAACACTCATTCACAAGATGAAATAATGACGACAGCAAGTCCCGAAAACTTGCTCGGTTGCGCAACGATGTCTGCCAAAACAAGAACTCATAATCCAGAAATCAGCGTTTCCCTCGGTAAACTGCCATTTTGCCTGATAAAGGCACCCCTGCTCTCGTGCGGGTCCTTTCCCGGGGCGTTACCTTGTTTAAGCCGTGCCTCCGCGTCTGTTTGCTGCCAGGCA